TTATAAATAATGTCACTGATATCTGTTTGATATCTTATAAATTATGTCACTGATATCTGTTTGATATCCTATAGATAATGCCACTGATATCTGTTTGATATTTTAGAAATTATGTCACTGATATCTGTTTGGTATCTTATAAATTATGTCACTGATATCTGTTTGATATCTAATAGATAATGTCACTGAAATCTGTTTGATAGTAATGCCCTGTCAGAGTTCACAGTAGCTCTGTTCGGTAACACTTCTACTACTTAGTGCATATTAAAATCTAAATTCTATCAGGTCTATTTGATATATTCACTGCGTCACAAGTCAAGGTAGGTGTCATTGTAAATCCGTCTAACACTGACGGAAGTAGTTAGCCTGGAAGTAAGTGTTACAAGTCTACCATATATAGAGCATGTTCGTTGAAGTGAATGGACACGATGTGAAGTAGTTCATGTTAATTTATTCAAAATAAGATACGGTCGATTGTTATTAGGTACATTTGTACAGCATTGATGTTCCTGGAGTATTTTAAACTTCCTGACAGGACGGTCAGTGTGTGAACCACAGAACTATTAAACGTGGGTAGTATCGTGATACTTATCACGCCCAAAATATTGGTTTAATTCAAACCGAATTAGATTAATTTCCGATGTTTAAAGGACGCAATTATCTTTATCATTCGGACGCAAGAAAAAGTTTGACTTAATAATTTGTATTTCCCTTTTACTTTATGAACAATGAATGATGAAAGATATTTTATATTAAGCATCTACTTTCGACAATTTTTTCATGTTTAAAATGTTTTATTAAATGATGAATTTTAGGTCCCGGCCAATGCAGTACTTTCCGTCGTAAAATGTTCATACGTGTGATCATGTTTAGTGATTAAAACATTATTTCTCACCAATTTAGAACTGCCAATTAAGAACTTTTATTTCAGTGAACATCTCAATAAAAGTCCGTAATTGATAAATATGGCATAATTTAATCTTCGAAAATGTTTCGGCACATTTTCATTATTGTGTTCCTTTATAACATATCACAGATCAATAATGCGCGACATCACTGTTAATTATTTCATTTTTATTTTAAAAACGCATTGTCATATCATTGCCATTTTGTCGTTCAACTAGTCATTTTTAAAAAGTGTATAAAGACTTAACTTAATTATGACAGCAGTGTGACGGAGTAGTTCCTTAAGTGTAAAAGATTTCCACTTAAGTGTAAAAAAATATATTTGCACTTAAGTGCAAAAACACGGAGAGGTTTCTAAAAGAATTTCACTCACCGAAGTAATTTTCGACTGTTCCAAAATATAGCTCAATAATTAGAAGTGTTCTATCAAGCTCACATCGACAAATCAAATCGTGCAAACTATCGCAGTGTGCCCTAGCGATGCGTAAACAATATGGCGGCTCCTGTAATACCTCGTGGATCCAGCACATGTCACCAAATCGTGTCACATGGAGGTGACAGAGTAAGTTTGAAAAAATATGTTTCTAGTGATTGTATTAGTTGTTTGAGGCATGCTATGTATGTTCATCTTGTGCATAAAGAATAGATCTTTCGATCCATGTGCGACATGTTTGTGAAAGTGACGATTTGTTTCTAAAATATCAGTTTGTAGTGCGCTCCGGGCGCGGGTCGCATATTTCCCGCATATTAAAGAGGGCCGGAGTTCTGACTTTAATCGACGACAGACCGATATGAAAAAAGTTGATAAAACGTCAGAATAATTCGGACTAACCCCTGTGATTCAATATTGATTTCTGACAGATAGCCATATTGTTTTGGAGCGTATGTGCAATTTTGAGGTCCTTCAGGTAATTTTCATGTCATTTTACTGTCATTCTAATTGTCATTCTTGTGAAATTTGGTGTCCATATTGAACTACTCTGGCACATCAATTAAAAGTAGTTCAGAGAAATAAAATTGTATGCTTTAAAGCAAAGATCGACTGTGATGTTTTATCTTATGAAGTCATATGTGTTTATTTTAATTTACCACCTCTTTTAAAACGTAGAATGTATTTAGATCATTTGTTCCTTTTAAAGTGTGTGAACAGTATGTTCGACTGTCCATAATGCATATCTTTTTGAACAAATTAATCTAATGGTTCCAAACAGATCTCTTAGGTCCAGCTGTGCGGTGGGTTTTTATCCCACCAATAGTCGTATTGACGTAAGGAAACACAGTGTTTTAATTAGGTGTCAGCATTTTTTTTTAGCTCCTTTAATGTTGATTTAGCGAATCACTCAAAACGTTTCAAACGGAAATGAAACAGATTTGTTTTTAATTCATTACACAAAGTCTGTTTGTATTTTATATATCATGTATGTAATGTTAGATCATTTTACATTTGGTCTGTGATATTGTAGTATGTAATTTATTGTGAACTGTTATGTGTTATCAACCTGTAAGTGGGCCTTATGGCCTGTTGGATATACATTAATTAATTAATTAGCTTAGGCTAAGTATTTCAGAATACAAAATATCAACTTCATCTGATAATCACAACTTTCTCTGTTTTGTTTATTTTGGCAAGATAAATATACCAGTTTCATTTAGGTTTCTGTTTTCATGTTCCCATATATTTTCATAACACCAATATACATGTTGTCAAGTAGAACTATAAGTATTAACTGTATTTCATGAGAATGATGTACTAGATGAGAGGGATCATTTGGATACATTTCTTGCTGAGATGAGGGTGTGGTGAAAAGCATGGACATATCTGTATGCTTTTTTATGTAACTGCTTTTTAAAATATGGCAGCTTACAAGTTAAATGTTTTCTAACAAAACCTGAATACGTAATTAACAATAATAGGGACGTATCTATAGTGAGTGAGCGGCACCACTGTAGCCGCGTGCTCTTACTTGGATGAATCTTGTCCGACAGTGATGGATCACTACGTTGTATTTTTGCTTTTCACTGTGATAGAGTGGTGTCATTATTTTGGATTGTATATGAATAACAACATACATTAACATTAACAATTCAAATAGTTAAACAATCCTCATCAATAAACCTATATTTGTATATTTAGTGTATCTAAATACGCAATTAAATGCAATAAACGGCCATTGAATGGGCTGGGCATAGACTTGCTTATTCGAAGCTTAGTTAAAAGTCTGGTTTTTTTGTGTGTTTCTGTTTGTTTGTTTGTTGGTTTTCTTGGTTTGTGTTTATGTTCAAGCGCTTAATATTAAACTGCTTACAATAATATTTTTATTGATTTTGTTCAATTCCTATTTGAACAGAACAACTGTATTCTTGTATTGTCTTACTGGGCACCACTCCTGGTCAATCCTCTTCGGTATCTCATTCAGCTGATACAGAACTTAAGCAATGATGTTAAACTACTTGGTTGATCCTTTATCTCTCAGACATATTAATAATCTTTTGCACTTGAATTACACACTCGAAGAGGACTAACATTTTACTTGTATTCCACAACTTGAAACTTTAAATGTCTTGACAGGCACACTTGCAAAATGTAACCTTATAAGCATACTTATTGCAAAACGACTTCATGGTCGTTTTCCTTTCCGTTTTTCAGTAGCAAAATATAGTATCTCCTACTTGTTAAATCTATATATTTTACATTTGCTCTACATCCTTCCATTGTAACTCGTTGAGAAGGCAAATGTCATTATGAGACTATAACAACATTTTCTATTGTAATGTCATCAATCTCTATTGTGACGTCATCAATTTCATTGTTGTCAACACTTAATTTGCTTATCAAAGAACTGTTCGAAATAGCTAGATAAAGCATAACTACTCTATCAAAATGTAAATATAAATAATGAATATTTTAGCAAATGTTGTTATGACCCTATAACACAGATTGCCATTTACGACAAACTAAATAAAGCCCGGTAGCTTATATATTCATCATCAATTTTTTAACATTTTGATAGAGTAGATATGTTTTATTTAGTTATTTCGAACAATTCTTTGAACAGCAAATTAAGTGTTGACAACAATGAAATTGATGACGTCACAATAGAGATGGATGACGATACAATGGAAAATGTTGTTATAGTCTCATAACAACATTTGCCTTCTCAATGAGTTACAACGAAAGGATGCCGGATACATGTAAAGATATTAATATAAAATGTTTATTTTGTCAGTATTTGTTCATTAAAAAAAGTTTGGAACTATCTTGAACTGCGCGGAACGGCGATACTATGTACTTTTGTTTTTACCTATATAGAGTCAGCTGATACAAAAATAACTTTAGTTTTTGTTTTCAAATTCAAACTATGAATGAGATGTGATAAATAGATGTTTGCATTCGTGCCCATGTGATATTGAATTAAATAAACTTGTTTAATAACTTGATACATGAAATTCGCCTAAAGGCTCAAATTATTGAAAACGTTTAGTAAATCCATTATGACATGGACACTCATGTAAGATTCTCTATTTATCATATTTAGTTCGCAGTATTAGGTACTGGTCCAAGTATAAGAGTCTTTTGATATATGCGTAATAACTTCATAGTCAGGGTTGCCCAATAGAAAGCCATCAGTCTGCTCTGAAGAATGTATATGCAATTTCGCTGTTTACCGTAATAAAAATGACGTTCACTGTCTCTCCTGTCGTTTGTGATCTACATTAAAGTGCAATCTGTCAAAGAAGAAATAGTTATATACTCTATTGAAAACGATTACTTTGTCAAGAACTTTTGTTTTTCTCTCGAATTATTATTATATTTATTTATCTATATATTTTTGTCAATGGTACTAATTTTATAGTCATTTCCCTTATGATATCTTTTTATTTACTGATTCACAATGGTTTGCAGGTTAGTATTTTGTTTTCGAATGCTTTAAGCAATTACCCGTGCTTTCCTGTGGTGAACTAAGTACATTAAAGGGTTGTAGATAAATGATATTTTTTCCGTCTTGCCAATAGCCTGAGAGCCAACTGTATTGCCGTCACATAATCAAACAATCAGTATGATACTATTGATACACAAGTAACACAACTCCATGTTAAAATAGTTCAATTTGTTTATTATCCAATAAAACAGATATTCTTGCATCTTTAAGAAAAAGAATATTTATAAATAAAAATAATGACAAGGCGATTGAAAAATGACTCTTGAGGTCAGGTACTAGTGTCATCAGGTAAAATATAAACACTAGAATATCAAAGTCAAGAAACGTGCCATAAGTATGACTGGAAAAATAACAGTAGCAAAATATAATATGACATGACATGACCAATAGAGTAAAACAATTTTTGTAAAATCATACCCTTTAAAATATATATAAAAAACATATGGAATGCATTTAGTGAAGTATGTCATCACACTATTCTTATGATATGTAGTAAATCATCGCGCACTCTGTTCTAGTTAATACATGATTTATTCCAAGATCCTCACGTCTTCACAAATGTTTCATACATCTTTCCATGAATCACCAATTCCGTTAACGCCCCTATAATTATAATGTCACAATAGTTTATGACAGTATGACGAGGAATCAACGTTATAACAACTTGATGTTTCATACTGTTCATTAAATGTACCTGCAATAGTATGACAGTAAGAATGATTTAGTTTATAAAGGAATTACATGTTAAATCGAAGGGGAAATAACTATTCATGCATCGATCATTCAAGCGCTTGAACTATTTTATAGTTTCGCAATAGAAGCAAACAACATCATTCTGGTGACGACACGTGAGGTATTTTTGATGCAGGATGTTTAATAAAAACAGCATAGGTATTATCTAATCTAATTAGATACGCAGTTACATATATGAAGTTAAATTCTAACGTCAAATATATATAATCATACAATCAAAGCCGCAGAAACTAACACAATGAACAGCTTCGATGTTATATGAATAATCTGATCCTATCAGAAACAAAGCTAACTTATGTTATTTAACTTTGACGTCATTTGAATCATCTTATTCAACAAAATACAAAGCTACATATATGCTCTTCATCTTTGACGTCATACAAATAATCTTTCCAATCAGGTAATATGCTAAATGTCTGCTTTTAACTTTCAAAAAAGAAAACATCTAATAAAAAAAATACTCGCAGAAACAAACATGATGAATAACTTTGACGTCATAGGTATAATCTGATCCAATCAGAAACAAAGCTCAATTAATACTATTCAACTTTGACGTCATTTGAATCATTTTATTAATATGATACAGCGCTTCATTGACGTCATACGAATTATGTGATCCAATCGGTAACAAAACTGAAGGTTTGCTGTTCAACTTTGACGTCATGTGAATCATCTCATTCAACAAAATACAACGCTAAATATATGGTCTTTGACGTTCTATGACTAATCTGAATCATTCAGATACAAAGCTGAAAATATGCTGTTTAACTTTGGTGTCAAGAGAAATTACCTTACAAATCGGATACAAAGCTAAATGTATGCTGTTTAACTTAGGCGTCATTCGAATCATCTTATGCAACCAGATACAACGGTTCACGTATGCTTTTCAACTTGACATCATACGAATAATCTGATCCAATCGGTTACAAAGCTTTATGCATACTGTTTAACTTTGACGTCATATAAATATGAACGACAGGTACATGAATGACAATTTATTTTGACCTAGTATACATAATCTCATTCAACGTATACCCACATTCACACAGTACTTAGTCATGATGTTTATGTAAATTGCATACATGCACGTTTGTAAATATTCATATTATTTTCTTTTTCATATTTCCCTGACTTTAAGTAGCTTAAATGAAAAGGGATTTCAATAAAAGCGCAGCACAAAAGTGTTTAATTGTACATACTGTGTTGAGCATGAAATGAGACGATCTAATAAATACAGAATACCAACTTTTCACACGTAAGGATCACTCAAAAATCAGTTCATGTTCATCACTTTTGTATAAATATATCTGCAAAAACATCATATTTGCATTTATATATATATATATATATCCATGTAATACATTGATACTTTCAAGAAATCAAATTGAGATTCTTCCTTCATTCCGTTCATTAAAATCAATAGCATATAGTTGTATACTGTTGATGATAGTATAAACCTTTAAGTAAAGCAAAACAATGTTTTAGTTGATTTTGTTAGTCAAAACATTACTTAACCGCATTAAAGGCAATATTCTACTTAAATTGCTTCTGCCAGAAGTTCACAGTGGAAATGAATATATGCTATGCTATTCACTGTAAACAAGATAACAATTTAAATGATTGTCATTTAAATCGACAGGAGACATACGATTAACGTGGATTTACAGACAAAATCTTTCCTTCGAAATTTAGTGTGCAAGTCGGATAGAGTATAGGAAAGAAGTTGAGGAGCGAGAACATTTTTTTTTCACCCTTTACACAGAGCATTCTGAAATAGGATTTCAGTATTTCAAATACAGAAATACAATAACAGCCCAACTAACCTTTATTTACCCATTTCAAATTCTCTCCTCCCTGATAGAGTATCTTTGATGAAATCAACCTGCTTGAGAAAGTAATGGTCGAAGGTTTGCTAGGTTGAGTTACAAAAAAAAAGTCCTTTCTAAAAGCTGATTTCTTCAAATTTGCCTGGAGAATGGCAATAGCACATCTACTCTCTAATCATTCGCATGGATTATACATGACAGTCAGTCAACACGGAGGGGGCTTTACAATTGTCATTGTGTCCTAGATTTTAAGAATCTAATGACTGTCTACTAATAAATGTGTTAGTTTTTTTTGTAAACGTTCCCTCATTTCCTAATTTTATATTTTTATTATTGATGTTGATTTGAGCTTTATTTTGTGTGGCTATATTCTGATACTTTCTCCTTTTTGATATAATACTATAAATTTGCAGAAGATTCTATTTATCAAACCTAGTATGTGAAAGCACTAAATCATCAACACCGCATATCGCGTTTCAATATCAACAGTTTCATATACATCATTTTTATTTTAGAAAAAAAGGCAGAACAATGAAAAACAAAACGTAAAATATGTTCCAAGTCTCTGCTATATGTGTAAGAAAATTATCATTAAAACGTGTATGAAGATCCATCAAATTAAACCACGAATAGCAGATGTTTAAAAGAGAGAGACGTACAAAACTGCAGAAAAGGGACAAAAGGAAAAACAAGAAATAAAATATTAAAGCCATCTCATCAGTAGGAAGTCTTTCAGTAGATCTACTTTGTTATTTTCATTTGCCACTCAAGTAAAATGACATTAAAATGGGCAAGCTTAAATTAAAATAATGTCTTTTAAACAAAAATAGATTAGTTCGGTATGGAATACCAGCAAACAAAATATTCTTTGAGCAGGCGAATTATTCGACTTTATAACCATCCCAACACGTGATGTATTAATATTTCATATACATTTATGCATTGAAATGCTTTTAGTTTGCAGTAATATTGATATAATCAATATAAAGGCAACTGAAAACTTAGAAATTCAACATGAAGTGCCAGATTACTTCATGCAATATAAATTTTGGTCTCCCGTTCACATTTATGTTGAATATGAATGAATACTACAAGCAAGTCGTTAATTTACTTCATTACTGATATTTAGAATGTTTTAACCCAATAGAAAATTACATCAATGCATCAAAAATTAGATCAGCCATCTTCAAAGAAGGGTCAGTGAAATCCGATCTTTACATTATGGCGTCATAATAATCGGGCCAGGACATTTCAAGTTGATAGGAATGCCACCCGAATTCGTAGGGTTGTATAAAGACATCGTCATGCAATTCTACATATATAACGATATCAACATTAGGGACATTATTTATATATCACAGATTCTCTCGACATCTCAGATATCTAAAACAAAAGCTGAAATTCAAAAGAAAATACAAATCAGCACAATTTTATTCTAAAACGGGATTCGTTCATTAGCATATAATTGTAATAGAAAAATAGCTTATTTTTGTATTTTGTTTCCTACCAACATTTCTAAAATTTACCTGCACAAGGTTTACAAATATATTATTGATTTAACACAAAAATCATTTATTAATTTATTCAAAAATGTATACCTTTTATATATACGGAAGCAGAACAAGTGTTAACCACGACATCGTCAATACAAAAATGTACATATAGACGAAAGCAAGGCCCGTATTCATGAAACCGTTCACATGTTAAAGTCTTGATTCTGTGTTCATACCAACTTTCTTGTAACTTACTTAAAACACGTGACACGTCCAAGAAGTCACGTCTAGACGTTAAAACAATTATGCGGATTTAAGAAAGGCAAAAATACTAAATATAATTAATTAATCACAAGTAAGCCATGAACACAAGCCTGAGTTTGAGTTTGGTAACGTTTTCATGAATATGGGCCGGGCCCTAGATATCTAATGATTACACGCTAAAATGCCACTTAAATTACTAGATGGTAACACAGTTTCAATAACATTACTAGTAAACTACTATACCTTTTGAAGTTACTTTTTCTAAGATATATCAACTATGTGTGGAAGTTATTATTTTATAATGGACTTTGGACTTATCTTCAGTATCAAAATCTTGTTGACAAAATTTACCTTTTTAATTGCGTGTTCGTTCACATCTATATGTATCCAGGTGAATAGTTTCATCCGCTTGAAATCTAATACTTCATACTCTAAACTGTTCAGTCCATCTGACATGTAATATCCATCGATGGAATTGTATATAGTCATCCTGAAAATGATTAAATATTACAATTGAGTTAAAGTTTTGCAATGAGAGATACAGTATATATATAAGGCATCCTTCGATTTTGACATCAAAAATAGATTAAGCCTGAATTAGGCACTCTTTGAGTTCCGTTCCCGTTCAAAATATTAAGAAAGAAAGCCATTTTAACCCAGTTTGCACATTTTTTTTTATCAAGAATACTACCATTAGTTCTATAAAATAATGGAAACCACAGGCAATGATATTGTAAGAATTAATCTTAATCATTATCCTTAATTCATGACTGAAATCACAGAAAGATTTAAGTACATATGTGTTCATTTTATTTCATATCAAACTAAATTACATTAAATTTGATGTATACAGTCGATAGTTGAATCAAAGGCTGCTACACGATAAACATACCATATGCTGTATAATATGACCTTTACGAATCAGACAGTAACTCTAGAGAAAACAACATTAACTACCTGCACTTAAGATTGAAATACCGCCAAGTGATTTAGCAAAGAACGCCAACTGGGGCAGCATATTAACAAAATTTCTGCTGAAAACAAGTTTTGGTATGCATCTTTGATAAAGCACCTGACCAGGCATACACAATGGTATTTATTAGGAAACGTTATAAAACGTTATATAACGTTTTGAAAATAAATAAATGACTTTTAAATAATCGATAAAACTATCTTCACAAAATTAATACAAAAAACTTTTTTTATCTTTATGTATAATCATAAATATATCGATCCAATAATAAATTTCAAAACTCTTGTAAATACCACCAATAAAAACATTCTATATCAAACTGTCAGTAAACGCCAAACAAACTGAGGTCATGTAATACAGTTACTGTATATACCAAATCAATAAAAAAACCTGTATCAACACTCATGTTTACATCACAAGATTTAAGGATCCCAGTTCTGCTGCAGACAAAAAGCTAGAGAATGCTACTTCAGCTTTCCATACAAACAGTTAATTATCTCCCCTTAAATTAATATACAGCTGAAGTGGACTGAGTTATAGAACCACCTGATCAGATAGTTTAGTTGGTTAAAAAAAGCCACATGATAATTGAACGTCAATGGTTCAAACCAGGTCTGGATCTGTGGCACTGTTTACCCCAAGAGTTTACTTATTTTTATTTCGTCTTTATCATCTTTTCATAAATGTTCTGCAAGGTAATATGATTTTTTTCCATAAAGGCTTTGTAAAAGCTATTGTGATGCCTATAACATGCTCCTCATTTAGTTTTTGGCACTAGTACGGGTATCCTTAACACGTTGTTTATCCAAAATTAACACAGATATGACTCCCAGTTACTTACCTAGCCTTGAAAACTGGATCTGCTGTGTGTTTGAGTGTAGTAACAGCTGCTATAAGTTCCGGAGGTCGTTCTATAAGATATCCCTCACTGATTATCCTGTCACATGTAAAATAAAATTGTATTGTTACATGTAGCCTTAAGTCCTATCTCATTTTCCCCATGAAGACGAATGCATTGTTTATGTTTTCTTTAGTACCACTGTCAAAAATATATTTCCTTTTGATGCTGGCTACTAGTAGTCAACAATAAATTAACTTTTGATGCTGGCTACTAGTAGTCAACAATTAATTAACTTTCGGTGTAGGCTACTAGTAGTCAACAATAAATTAGCTTTCGATGCTGGCTACTAGTAGTCAACAATAAATTAACTTTCGATGTAGGCTACTAGTAGTCAACAATAAATGAACTTTTGATGCTGGCTACTAGCAGTCAACAATAAATTAACTTTTGATGCTGGCTACTAGTAGTTAACAATAAATTAACTTTCGATGTAGGCTACTAGTATTCAACAATAAATTAACTTTTGATGCTGGCTACTAGTAGTCAACAATAAATTAACTTTCGGTGTAGACTACTAGTAGTCAACAATAAATCAACTTTCGGTGTAGGCTACTAGTAGTCAACAATAAAATGAACTTTTGATGCTGGCTACTAGTAGTCAACAATAAATTAACTTTCGATGCTGGCTACTAGTAGTCAACAATAAATTAACTTTCGATGCAAGGTACTAGAAGTCAACAATTTGTTTACTTTCGATATTGTTTACTAGAAGTTAGCAATATATTTATTTTTGGTGATGGCTACGAGTTGTCAATAATATATTTACTTTTGATATTGGCTACTAGTCGTTAACGAAAGATCTACTTTTTATGCTGGCTTCAATCAATCAAAACATATTTACTTTTAATGATTGCTACTGTTATTCGAAAAATATGTTTTCTTTTGATGTTCTCTACAAGTACTTTACTTTCAATGTTGTTTACTAGAAGTAAAAAATATAGTAACTTTTGATATTTGCTACTACAGCTGTATATTTGTTTTTGATGCTGGATACTATTAGTCACAAATATATTTACTTTTGATGCTGGGTACTATATATTAGTAAATAATATGCCTACTTTCGATGTTGGCTTCTAGAAGTCAACAACATATATTTACTTTTGATGTTGGCTTCTAGTAGTCAACAATTTGTTTACTTTTTATATTGGCTACCAGTAGTGAACAATATATTTACTTTGAAGTTGGCTATTAGAAGTTAACTTTACACGATACATCTGCCTATCAACTTAAATAATGTAAAGTTTTACGTGGTACTAAATGGATGTCGACTAACTTCACTACATATATTTAATAAAGCTGTTTTTCTATCATATTGCCAATATATCAATTATATTCCTAGTGGGACATTTTTTAATACTGTTCAAAGTAGAAAGTAAATCTAGCATGAATGGATAAGTTAAATAGATAAGTGTTTTCTTTTTTTTATAAATAGATGGCATACATAATTGTATTTAGATTTCACGTATACATCTCATTTTAGTAAAGAGGCATCTATGGAATTATTAATCCGGTAGGTACAGACACACGGAAGTTACAGAGCGTTGTTATGTTGGGTTAATCCTTGTTATAAGGTTGGGTGGCAAGTAGAATTAAAAAATAACACTGTAACCATACCGTCGGTATAAATCGTCGTCTTCAGCACCCCATACAAAAAATAAATTGGAGTAACCGTTAATTCGTTGGAATTGCTCTGCTGTAAATCCAATGATTCCACCCACAAGTGTATAGTACGGCAATCTGCAAGTAATTAAATATTCTAAATATGAACTTCTGCCAGCTCAGACTACGAGAAATATGTTTCATTTAATTAGATAATTTGCATATCTAAACATTCGTGCAAAGGAAAAGTATTGGTGTTGAGGTAAAGCTTTGTTCATTTCCTGATAATTGTTCATTCATTTTATTTTTGACATGTACTGAATTAGTTATGAGCGTGCTTCCTCAAGACTCTCCCTTACAAGCTCAATTAGATAAATGTCTGGTACACACTGCTCATTCAACAGAACCACTGCCTACTACCTTTTTCTTTTCACCCCCAAAGTTTGCCATTATATTGTATCTGGAGTTTATACTAGCGTGGTCTACATTAAAGGCTTTTTTCATTACTGAACAGGAGCGCCAAGAAAACATTGTTTCTTGATGATTTCTCGACATGTATTGTTCATTAGGAGTATCAAATTATATTTTCATGAAGAATTTTGTAACTAGGTTATAAAAAACTTATTTCACTAAATTGTGTTCGTTAAGAAACATTACATTTATGAGTTTAACAGATAGCTGACACCTTTTTTTCAAAAGAATTCTTTTCAATTAAATAGATATATGTCCTTCATTTCTGAACAATGTGTTCTAAATTTCTAATTGGATCTGTAGGAGATATATCCCAGACAAACAGTTTCAAAGGGTTGAACTCAAAGGTCAAAGCGTAAGTCATAGTAACATACTTCTTGTACTCTGCACTTCGCTATCCAGATATGTACTTGCATACCAACTCTTGTTACTCGAGGGGACCAAATATAGAAATATTCCCCGGACGAAATTGTGGCAACCTTAGTAAAAAGGCTAGTTTATAGACTACTATTTATTTAATGCATCTCGAATATTACAAAAGGATTTTTTCCCCAATAAAATACCCAACATTTACACACAATATAACCCTTATATAATTCATCTCGGTTATCGAAATTCGATATAATTTATTGACAATAAAACCTTGATATATTGACCCTCATTTATCACTATGAGTTCAAACTAGGATACAAGTCTAGATCTCCTTGTTGTATTTGCTCATTTAAGTCACCGCTAATGTGAAAATGCTTTACCACCAACCCACCCACCCCTTTTTCTGTTTTTTTTTTTTTTACAATTTCTGTTCAATTTCTTTAAACAAATGTTTCCCTCTGTAAACACCTAGCAATGTAATGTCAAAATATGGCTTAATCAACAATGGCAGAATAAAAGTGCTGCTACACATCAATAAGACATCATGTCTACGTTAAACAATATGTGTGTCAGCAGAATCCCATTAAGTTGGTTGATATTACCTGTAATAGTCGCGGTTAATAGCGGACACCAGATGCCGTACCATATCCCGATTACAATAGAAGATGTTCCGGTCATCCTCGATGATCGTATCTACGTCATTGAAGATAAAACAGTCAAATTGTCCAGACTTCATGGCTTCCTGGAAACCAACATTTCTCATCAGCCCCCTGTTAAAGCTGGAACCATTATTCTGAATCAAAAGAAATGTGTCAAATTAATGTAAAGTACACTGTGGCAGTATAGAGTGGAAATGGTACGAGTTTATAAGTTAAGTTAAAATCCAAAAACGTCAAGTCGAATAAAGGTAATAAATTGTTATTTTTTTGGTATTTTGTTTATTATTTTTGTTGTTGTTTTTCGTGTGGTTCGGCGTTAAATAAAATAGAAATACCTGTACACAATTCTCTATTTACAATTTATTTGCAGGTTCGGTGGCGTAATAAGCCTTTCTGTACATGTATCCTACTGGATGCTATAATAATAATAATAATAATTCGAGGTTCTATATACCGCTTTATCACAACCTAGTTCGCAGGTCGTCTCAAAGCAGTTCACAAATTATTATCCGTGGTTATAGGGCCATTGCAACCAGCCGATATCTTTCTCAACTCCATACGTCGGTGCCGCCATTTCGGCGCTCACAGCTAGCATACATCAATTCTAGCACTGCCCAACCACGTACTCATTTACAGCTGAGTAGACATCGAAGAAACCAAAACTGATCGGAATTAATGCCTCTAATTAAAACTTATTTTATTCACTCCCCACTTGTCTACGCTTTCTTTGCGTTGGCATCTCGCTAGGCCACCGTCTTTTATAGTTTATATGACCTTAGCTTTTGTAAGGACGCAAAGCTAAAAAACAAACGTAATTAATAAAAGTAGGAATTGTAACATCATAATCAGGCCATAATTGAGACCATTATATAGGTTCAGCGTACATTGAAGTATCTTCAATAAAAACACCCAGCTAAATACTAAATGTACATATTGGTGTGGAGTGTTATAATTAATATCTAAACCATTTCTAATAGTTTCATAGCGTGTTCATGTTATTCCTTGTGTGCTGAAAGGGAGATGATCCAATTTCATATAAAAGTCATCCATACGCCCTTTGTGGCCCGTCATAGAAAAATTGGCATGTGGTTAGCTATTTGATTGGTCTTGTATGGTCTTCAAACTTATCGACTTCAAAGCCAGTTCAATTTACCAATGCACTAACGCGAGGTTCGTTTGATGCACATTAAATCAACAATGTGGCGCACACTGAGCCTTCGATTTTGTAATGACATATGTCAGGGGTGCAGAGAGCGTTACATTTGTGTAGTGATTATAATGGGATTGATGCCTATAAGAAATACTACCTGTTCAATGACGAAAATAGTGAAGTCTATCTGCTGTTTGAGTAGCTTGGGGAGTACATTATTGAGATACTGAAGTAGGTGTTTCCTTCTGTCCCGATACGGTATTATAATGGCTGTCCTCCCCAAACCCCGCGAACACGCCCGAGGACGGAAGCGACCTCCTGGTAAACTTGCATTACCGAAGATCCTCTCCAGATAGTCAATACTTATTTCGGACTCGTCCACTGCTTTTCGTCCCACTTAAAAAAAAAAGGATACGAATGACGGTACATGGCAAATAAAGTTGATTATCGCTAACTGGAGAATTATAATGTTGAGCACAGCTGAGTACACTTATTTTTTGTTGCAAGATAATTAACATATTCCGTGATATTTATGTACTGTTGTTTAAAAACATTAATGTATATCTGTCTTCGTAGTTGAAGCAATAAAGCATGATTGAAGTTTACTCCTGAACAGTTTTGACATTGTCTGAAATTTCGGGGTCTTTAACGCGACACTACGTACAGACACCGTTGCTAGAATTTTCGTGTGATATCTAATGTGACATTTATGAAACGAGGTCGACTTGTTTCGCTAGCGTCTTTGGCAAATCTGAGGAATACTTCGTCAAAAGTTTAATAAATATTAAACGTTATGATACCAATTGTTAGGATTGTGACAATAGATATTATGATATTGCAAATATGCTTAGATACATCCACCCAAACCATTGCTATTTAGCTTTATCCAACGTATCCTTTGTAGTAGTATAATTCTTGCAATATGATTGATTTCTAAATTACGGAGTTTTACGCACCTGCCCCTCAGTTTCAACGATTCCGTTTTTTTAAATTGTTTGCCCCATATGCTAACCAATGACTCCTAGAAGGACAAGACAGCTGTATGTTGCAGTGTAATACATTTTTGTCATACTGTATCTGTTACTGAATTTTAAAAGGTGTGTGTGTTAGGTTCACCTTTAAACGATCTTTCTCTCATTTGGTGACACGCGAATCGCACATGTATTTTACTACATGTATATACTGATACACGTAACACTAATAACAAGAGGCCCATGGGCCTAAACGGTCACCTGAGTCTACAGTATTTATTTTTGTTGTTGAAATATGTACCAATTTGAGTAAAAAATAGTATAATGTTAACTTAACTTTGTCAGGACCATGAGCTGATCATTCCTAGACCAATTTTAAGTGAGATCGGCCTATTAGAACTTAGTAGCAAAATAGC